GGTCGCGAATGAGGGACAGGCGCCTGCGCATACATCCGAGTTCAAGGCCGGCACAAATGCATGGGCATGTAAGTAGGAGGAGAGTGCGTATTGGAGTGTTCTTGACACGAAAGTAATCCCCCAAGGCACTGACCTGTCCATCTGCTTGACGCGCCGCTTCTTCATCTTGCGCACGACAGCCACAATGTGGCTCATCATGCCCAGGTCCGCCTGGTGCATGATGTCAGGCATGATAACGAGGAAGGGATTGCCCCACACGGTCCCTGGGACATCCCATTTCCAGAGCACACACTGGCGGAGGGGGTGTGGTGGGGAATGGTAGAGAAAGGTATATGAGAGACTCGGCCAACATGTGGGGCAGTGCAATGGCAGTGCACATCTCCCCCAGGGCTTCTCAACACGGAGTGCTTAGACAGGAAAGTAGCGCGGTGGACAGGTCGCTCACCTCAACCGGGTAGGTCGAGTAGGTCTTGCATGGGTCGGCCTGGCTTGATGTCAATCCAGCCGCCTCATTCACGATCCATTGCTGCTGTTCAGGCGTGCGCGGCGTGTTCCGTGCCTTGACAGCAACTAAATGCTCCTGGTGTAGCACGGGGGGTGGGATGGGATGAACTGGTAAGGGTGAAAAAATTAGGAGGTCCGTCATGTGACAGTCAGATGACGATGGCGATGAAGGCGTTCACATGGCATGTTTGCTCACCTTTGCAGCATAGCAGATGCTGCACGGCATCCGCGATCCATGCGAGAGTGTGCAACTAATCTTGCCGCTCTCGGGGTAGTCGCACACCCAGGCGTACAGCAGTGGCCGCACTGTTTGCCAATCACCGAAAGGGTCCCTGAGACGGAAGCCGCTGCAAGGAACGGGTAGAGTGGTAACGTCAACAGCCATGACGACTCTGTGCATCAGCGAGGAGGGGCAAAGGGTAATGCAACATACAAAAGCGCTGCGCACACTATGCTGTGCACACGGTGACGACATAGCATGACGGAAATCGAGTACGGACCTGTCCATGCCATCCAGAAGCGGCTGCAGCACGGTGAGGACGCATCGCTGGAAGAGCATCACCTTTTCAACAGCAAACATTGCCGAAGGGGGGATAGGAAGGAGAGCAAGTAGCGTGTGCCCGGCTTTCCCCCATCGCTTGGCCTGGGAGATGTTGGCAAGCGTCATCATGAGCGGCCACGCCTTCTTCCGGCCGTTGTTGCTCATGTGCGTCACATCCGAATATAGGATGATACCCCCCACGACTTCAGACCATCCGAAGTGTTCCTGCATGCACGACAAAGACGGAAAACCCCCACGGTCAAACACCACCAAGGTAATGTGTCGCCTGGCGGATTAAGCATGGTACATAACACTCCCCACTAACATGACGCACTGAAGATGCTCCCTACACATCAGCGCGTCAACGGAGGACGGCGCACGCGTGTGGTTTTGGGTGGCAGCGGGGTATTTACATACCTGAGCATCGTTCCACCACGTTCCAATTTCTGGCGTGGTATAGCGACGCTCGCCTGTGCCATGGTCCTCATCGACACGAGCCTTGAGCTTGAAGCCGGGCGCGTTGTTGGTGTGCCCAAACAGTTCAGCAAAAGCCTGGAGTACGGCATCAAGAGCGGGGGAGAACCAAACAGGGGTTTAGTGGCGGGAGCGGGGAAGGGTCGGATCGCACACATGGACCAAATGGAGGCGGAATCTGCATTTCGCAGCCACGCATCCACGGCCTGCTTACCTGCGCAGAGTTCCGGAAGAGGAGGAGTTGTGGAGGATGACCCTCAATCTCGAAGGTCGCCACTGACCATCCGCGATTGAGCCCTACCAAGCGCTCCATCTCGAACCTCTCCAGATCCTTGCAGTTCCGGATCTCTGAGATCACAAGAGGCGCAAGGCCAGGCTCCACCACGAGCTGAAGCAGGCCATTGATGTCGATCTCCGCCATGCCCATTCCGCCATTTACACGCCTCACGAAGTGCAGCAGCTTCAACGCAATCGGATTGAGGGGCGTCGCATTGCTCTCCCCAGAGATGATTGTCGGCGGGGCCGCGTGACTCACTCCAGGGCGGCACCCCGGATCCGCACTCATGTCATCTGAAGGTGTTCCGGGTGGCGGTTGATGCTCAGATTCAGAAGCCCCCACGTTCCCAGCCGAGGGTGTTGCGTCATCTTCAGCTTCATGCACGCGAGGAGGACCATTCACAGCGTCGGTGTTGGACGGATTAGACGCGGTAGGTGAAGCGGGAGCAGCGGGAGCGTCCGACAGAATCTCTTGCACGAATAGCAGTGTGTGTAGTCCGGCGGATGGTGCAGATTGCGAGGGCCTTGCCAGGGCGGAAAGGCCTTGGCAAGGGGTCCGCCGTGACTTGTGACCGCCATAAACTTGGGCGTTGGGGAACCATCTATTGCAAAACTCGCAGACGACGCCAGGTAAGGAGCCCATGCGGTACGGATCTGTCTAAGTGTTGAGGAATGGCCTGTGAAGCAACGAGCGTCGTGGGACGCTTGAGAAGGCATTAAGTACTCCGTGCAAGAAGGCTGGTAATGCAACACGGTCATCGCCAAACCGCGCACTGTTCAAGGCGGCTTGTATCACTGCACGACTGGCACTTGAGCGGGCAGCTTATGTTTGGACGTGCCTAACGATGTGCGCGCCGCGCGGTCGTGACAAGGCACATGGAGCAGCGGAGAATGCGCTTGATTCTAAGACGGTAGGTCTTGTGTGTGCGTTGCGAGCTCGGTGAGAAGGACGTGCCTGTGGATTCACGCACTCTTGGTGCGTGAGAGTCGAGTGGGATGAGGAAGAGCGGGAAGAGATCCGTTTGGATCTGTAGTTCAGTTGCGAATTGTTATACGGGGGAGATCGCGCTCACGTTAGTGAGCTCACAGTGGTGAGCTCGACAACGGACAAAATACAGCACAGGATATTACATTGTACAATTGCATTTAATCTATACACTAAACTCGTTGATGATAACTACTACACGGTCACATGAAAATGCCTGCTCGAGATCCACCCCTAGTTGACAACGTGACATTCTAAAAACCATACAAGATCTCTAGTGTGGTCTGGCAACATACGGGAAGTACACAAGAACTTCGTGCCCTCACGATAACGCATCGCCGATTGTGCGTTGTGGCTCTACTTCATACCCCTTTGAGGCACCTACTTGAATGTCCGTGCAAGGTTAGATGACAATCCAACACCGTACCACAACGGATTCGCCTGGTCGCGCAAGCCTTGTATGGATGCGAACGCAACACCGTCGCCAAACTAAACAGCGATGTCGATTGCGCATCAACGCTCGTGCGTTGGGCCTGTGCTTCATCCCACACCCTCAATGCACCTGGCGGAGGGCCCATGCAAGAATGGAGCCCCATCCAACACCATTCCACAACGGATTCGCCTGGTCGTGCAAGCCTTGTATGGATGCGAACGCAGCAACGTCGCCAAACTAAACAGCGATGTCGATTGCGCATCAACGCTCGTGCGTTGGGCCTGTGCTTCATCCCACACTCTCAATGCACCTGGCGGAGGGGCCATGCAAGAATGGAGCCCCTTCCAACACCATTCCACAACGGATTCGCCTGGTCGCGCAAGCCTTGTATGGATGCGAACGCAGCAACGTCGCCAAACTAAACAGCGATGTCGATTGCGCATCAACGCTCGTGCGTTGGGCCTGTGCTTCATCCCACACTCTCAATGCACCTGGCGGAGGGGCCATGCAAGAATGGAGCCCCATCGAACACCATTCCACGACGGATTCGCCTGGTCGCGCAAGCATTGTATGGATGCGAACACAGCAACGTCGCCAAACTAAACAGCGATGTCGATTGCGCATCAACGCTCGTGGGTTGGGCCTGTGCTTCATCCCACACCCTCAATGCACCTGGCGGAGGGCCCATGCAAGAATGGAGCCCCATCCAACACCATTCCACAACGGATTCGCCTGGTCGCGCAAGCCTTGTATGGATGCGAACGCAGCAACGTCGCCAAACTAAACAGCGATGTCGATTGCGCATCAACGCTCGTGCGTTGGGCCTGTGCTTCATCCCACACCCTCAATTCACCATGTCGAGGGCCCACGCAAGAATGGAGCCCAAGCCAACACCACACTACATCTCCATTCCAGTTGGCACTAGTACACGTCGTGCTTGAACAACTTCCAACGACCAGTATCCGTCGCCCATTCTCAATGTGTGCTCAGTATAGCATTCCATAGTCCACGAGTTGGAAGCACAAAGAGTGCGTCCTAAGCCCCATGCACTCACTAAACTTCACACCATATGACACCATAAACGGCTATTCACTTCAAATTGTCTTAGTTGTACTTTGCAAGTGTATTCAGCTACTATGTTAAAATTTGATCAATGCACTAGGCACTGTATTTTGCAGGATGTGATGATTGGTGGTGTCGAAACGGTACTAGATTCTGTGGAGATTGATGCGTTGGCGCTGATTGGCCGACGCATCTCAAACGACCCTCCCCACTACCGCACCAGCCAAGCTGGACATTCGCCGTGGAAGCAGCGACTGTGATCAAGCGTCTAGTGCGTTTCTGATCGGGAGGCAAATCGTAGACCGTCCGATGGTGCGTGTTCTGCTTACAGTCCTCTCGATAGACTCGCAAACCACCCCAACTACCGTCGTGCCCCACTCACCAGCTTCCGTCACCCTCATACCCACTACCTTGACGCCGCTCGCTGCTGAACACAGGAGTTTCCAAATCGCCAGTTAGACGGAGTAGCGACGAAGGAAAGGGCTGACGCCATGTGCTTAGTAGCTACTAATTCAGGTGTAATTGTACCTTCCGATTTAGGGTGAAAAAGTATTGGCTTCACCGGGACAGGGGTCAAATAGCAACAAACCTTTCCGGTTTTTTTTTTATAACTCAGCTACCCAATCCCGCAATTTAAAACTTGCATTCGTACCACCCTCATGACACATGCTACTCGGCAAACAGAAAAGCAGAAGGAGGAGGCGAAATGACGCACGACACGAAGGATGTCGCATCAGACCGACCAAGAGGGTGGGGCCAGATCTACCGCTACTAAAAAGGCCGCCGCGCAAACCAATCAAACGAAACGTGCGGCGGGGAAAAAGGCTGAGGTGGGAAAGCAGAAGCCCGGAAAAAAGGCGGAGGACAAGGGGAAGCAACCAACGGCACGCAAGCGTGTTTCGGCCGTCAGGAGCGATGCGGATGTTGCCACTGCTGCCCTCGAGCCCGGTCCTTCTGACGACGGCACCATCGGCGGGAACGAAGACCCAGGGCGTGGCGGCGTGAGTGTTGCCGTCCGGTCCGGGGACAGAGAGGGCTTTGCGACTCGAGGAAAGCACGGCGACTCTCCCCGCCAAGATCAGGCCGCAACTTCGACGTCCGTGGCAGAGGCAAAGCAGCAGCATCTGACGCTGCCCCCCCCGCCCGTGGTCGAAATATCTGCTGCAGTGATAGATAAGGAGAAGGATGCTGCGCACGATTGCACGGAGGGGCCGAAACACGACATTGCCGACGTAGGTGGATCTCCTCCCTCTGGGGGACGCGGGAGGCGTAGGCAGAGGAAGAGCGATGGTGAGGAGGAGAATGACACCCCCGTGGCTGAGGACATGCCCATACGCGCGAAGAGGAGGCAGACGACAGCCAGCGGTGACGACGCCGGTGGTGCTGAAGTTGGGACAATGCGAGGCACCACGGCGCCAAGTGGCTTGGCGACAGATCATGCAATGCGGCATAAGGTGGGATCCGGTCCGAGGAAACCATCTAGCGGACGGAGGGGGAAGCAATCTTCGGGGGGGAATAGGCCGAAGCGCGGCAAAGAAGGCCCTGGTGAAGCGGATGTTGAGGACGAGGGGGATGGGGAGGAGGAGGCCGAGGAGGATGCGGAGGAGGAGGACGAGGATGCAGGGGAGGGAGAGAAGGACGAGGATGAGCAGGAGGGCGACGATGATGAGGAGGAGGAGGAGGAGGAGGAGGAGGAGGAGGAGGAGGAGGAGGAGGATGAGGATGAGGACGATGAGGAGGAGGATGAGGGGGACGACGAGGATGAGGAGCAGGAGGAGGAGGAGGAGGATGAGGAGGAGGAGGAGGAGGAGGAGGAGGAGGAGGAGGAGGAGGAGGAGGAGGAGGAGGAGCAGGAGGAGGAGGAGGAGGAGGAGGAAGAGGAGGAGGAGGATGATGAGGAGGAGGATGAGGAGGAGGAGGACGACGAGGAGGAAGAGGAGGTGGAGGAAGGGGCGGATGAGGAGGAGGAGGAGGAGGAGCCGGCAGGGAAAGGACGGGGCGCGCGAGGGCGGACGGGGGAGTGGCACAGGGAAGGTGGGGGGCCGGTCTGGACAATCCCGGAAACGCGGGGCGGGTGACGCAATGCGTGGCGGACCAGCGGGCAAATCGAAGGCGCGTAAGGTGAAGGTTGAACTTGACCGGGGTGGAAGGAAGCAAGTGAGACAGGGAGCTAAAGGCGATGGAGACGGAAAGGGACCGCGCGCGAAAGGGGTACCTGTGGGTTCGGCAAAGAAAGAACCTGCCCGTAAACGAGGCAGCACCCGCCAAAGCACACCGCGGAAACGGGGCAACGATAAGGAGCAGGCAGCAAAACCGAAGGGACAGCAACGTGGTAAGCAACGTGTCACAAACGACTGGCATAGCTGCCGCGGTTTGTGCTGAACAGACCCTAACAACACCGTGTTCCACCCGTCTTTTCCCGCCGCAGGGAAGGAGAAGGTTGACAAATCGGCTAACCCGGGTAAGGCGTGACTATACACTACAGTTCCGTGCTACACCCATGTTAGAATCATGCGGTTGCTCGTCATGTTTGCACGTGTCCAAATGCACCTTACAGACACCAGCTCCGTGCTCATCCTCCGTGTGACTCTCAGCCCCCCGTGTTACAGGCATTGGGCCACCGGTAACCATGCAACGGATGCAGCTAGCGAAAGGGGCCGGAAGAGCGAGTGTGGCACCGCTATCCACAGGAGGACCAAGGTTCTTCACGCCATACTCCGGCCCGAGCAAAGTCGCTGCGACTGCACCCGGCGCGGCAACAGGCGAGGAATCCGAATCCCCTCCACCAGCCCCCGTCACGCACTCCCCACTCGCCTCTCCCTCATACCCATTTCGGCCACTACACGCTTCTCCAGCCCGGGGCAGGGCGGTCTCCCCCCTCGCCGGTCCATCGCGTGTGCATCAACCAAGCACCTTTGCCAATCCCTTCCCTGAGCTTCCCTTTTCCCGCCAACGTGATAGTGTGAGGGCACACGGTGCTGCTGCAGAAGACGTTGATCCCCTTGGCCAGAGAGGGGTTTCTACACACCCTTTTCCGGATGTCATGGATGCGCTGGCTGAAGGTGCAGAGCACGGGCAGTTTGTTACACGAGACGAGTTCCAGCAGCTACGGTCTGAGATGTACGCCATGTTTGCTCAGCTCGGCCTGCGTCGGGGAGCAACTGCCAGCTATGCCGGGGGGGCCGCAGTGGTGCCGATGGGTGGTACCCCGCCGCCGATGAGTGCCGTGGACAAGGCACGTGTGCTTGTGCTGCAGGAGACCAACCCATTCCCGGTATGTGGCGGGTTGGGGTTGACGTGGCAACCAGGGCAGGGTTGGGAATGACCTGGCGGTTGGAAAGGGTGCGCGGGAGCGGTGCAGGGCGACACGTGACTCCACACGTGGGCGGGGGCTGACGTGGCTCTTTCACATCTCTGTGTGCGACGTGGCAAGTGGGTTGGGTTGGTGGGTTTAGACGGCGGACGCAAGAGGGTGTGACGTGGCGGGATGTGTGGCTTGGTGCTGACGTGGCACCTTGGAAGGGCACACGGGAGCGGCGCTCAACGAGGCGCCGCGTGTCAGGTGGGTGGGGTGTGACGTGGCATGGGGTGGGCGGGTGTGACGTGGCACGTGGGGCTGGCTGCTACCTGACGTGGCGGATGCAGGAGGGTGTGCCGTGGCGGGATGTGTGGCTTGGTGCTGACGTGGCGGCTTGGAAGGGTACACGGGAGCAGCGCGTGACGATGCTACACGTGTGCGGTGGGTGGCTTGGTGACGTGGCATGGGGTGGGCGGGTATGACGTGGCACGTGGAGCTGGCTGATCCCTGACGTGGCGGACGCAAGGGCGTGTGACGTGGCGGGATGTGTGCCTTGGTGCTGACGTGGCGGCTTGGAAGGGCACAAGGGAGCGGTGCTCAACGAGGCGACGCGTGTCAGGTGGGTGGGGGGTGACGTGGCATGGGGTGGGCGGGTGTGACGTGTCACGTGGGGCTGGCTGCTCCCTGACGTGGCGGATGCAGGAGGGTGTGCAGTGGCGGGATGTGTGGCTTGGTGCTGACGTGGCGGCTTGGAAGGGTACACAGGAGCGGCGCGTGACGACGCTACACGTGTGTGGTGGGTGGCTTGGTGACGTGGCATGGGGTGGGCGGGTATGACGTGGCACGTGGGGCTGGCTGATCCCTGACGTGGCGGACGCAAGGGCGTGTGACGTGGCGGGATGTGTGGCTTGGTGCTGACGTGGCGGCTTGGAAGGGCACAAAGGAGCGGCGCTCAACGAGGCGACGCGTGTCAGGTGAGTGGGGGGTGACGTGGCATGGGGTGGGCGGGTGTGACGTGTCACGTGGGGCTGGCTGCTCCCTGACGTGGCGGATGCAGGAGGGTGTGCCGTGGCGGGATGTGTGGCTTGGTGCTGACGTGGCGGCTTGGTAGGGTACACGGGAGCGGCGCGTGACGACGCTACACGTGTCAGGTGGGTGGGGGGTGACGTGGCATGGGGAGGGTGGGTGTGACGTGTCACGTGGGGCTGGCTGATCCCTGACGTGGCAGACGCAAGGGCGTGTGACGTGGCGGGATGTGTGGCTTGGTGCTGACGTGGCGGCTTGGAAGGGTACACGGGAGCGGCGCGTGACGACGCTACACGTGTCAGGTGGGTGGGGGTGACGTGGCATGGGGAGGGTGGGTGTGACGTGTCACGTGGGGAGGGTCGTTGGTGGATTTGGCGGATGCAGGAGTGTGGGTGGGGGGTGACGTGGCATGGGGTGGGTGGATGTGACGTGGCAAGTGGGGCTGGTTCCTCCCTGACGTGGCGGACGCGGGAGGGTTGGTCACGCGGCCAGAGTCATAATTGATGGTTTCTCTCTCCCCGTGTCGTGTTGTAAATCCACACCCATGCGCAGAGCAAAGCCTACTTAGTGTGCTCTCAGCTCCTGTTTCTGAACCCCCCGGAGAAGATTCAGTATTACCCTGCACCGGAGGAAGTGTTCGAGGCGTTCGCTGTCCACTTGTCTCACGAAGGGCTAGAGTCAATGAAGCTGCTGTGGTTGCACAACGACAAGTCAACCATGGGTGTCTTCAACCACCAGATGTCATCAACCAGGTCAACAATCAACAGCACCCTCAGGCCAGCAACGTACGCCGGCATGGGTCTCTCCGATTACGCCAATGCGGTGGATAGCCTGCCCACTGAGCTACGCCCGGAGAAGTGGTTCAACGACGAGCAGCTCCTGGCCGAGTACAGAGATGGTATGTACGTCTCAAACACACCATATCCCCCTGCCCATAAGCCAGTCAGCAGCTACAAATAACCGTGCCGTGGTACTCTGACCCTGTCTCTCACCCCCCCACTTGATCTATCTGCACCCCCTTTCCAACCCATACGCTCCCTCCCAAAATGCAGAACAGTGGACCCTCAACTGGCACTTTGACAAGGCCACCGGAACGCCCTTCAGCAACCCCTTGTTTGCTTATGCGTTCAAGCTCTCCTTCAAGAGGAGCGGGGTCGTGTTCACCAAGTTCAAGAGCCGCATGGTGGCATGGGGCCTGTTTTCGGTAAGGAGGTAGATAAGTGACACTACACCCATGCCTCATCCCCTAAACCCCTCGCCTGTACTTCATCTAAAACCCAGGTCGCTTAGGCGTTTGCGGTTACGTAGGGTGTGACGTCTTCACTGCTTTCAGTTGGATCATATGCCCATGACCTCCCCTCATACACCATCCACCCAACCCTACACCACATTGCACATCGAGTGGCCCCTTCTGCAGGACAAGCGCCGCAAGCGTATTCCGGCCCAGCCGGAACAAAACAGGCCGGACTACTTCGAGTGGTGTGACAAGGTCAAACAGATGATACACTTTGCCGTTGTGGAGCGACGCATCCCACACGATCCGGCTCAGGGTGCGTTCGTCTTCCCGAACAAGTTCCTCGTCGACGATGGCGACCTTGGAGATGTTGTTCTTGCCTACCGGGGGCTTGCAGGGCCCACCATTGCGTAGACTATTTGACTGGGTGTTAAAACTGCTGGTTGTTAGAATGCTGAATAATGGAAGCTGTAACCCGCGAATATTGAATGTAATTCTGAAATCCTCAATTCCCAGAATAAAACAAAAACAAAATCCATTTTTAAATGATTTGGTCACAAAACTGACCCTAAACGGATTGCGCGCGAATGTCAGCCAGAACAGCACGCGTGCCAAATTGGAACTTGACCCGAGCCAAGCCTTGTCGCGAGATGTGTGTCGGAGCTCCTATCAAATGACTCAAACCGTCGGTCGAAATTCGGTCCCGAATTTTTTACGCGAAGACAATCCCAATCAAAATTCGTCCAAACTTGGCATAGGGTTTTTGTGATGTGCTGCCTCCAATGCCACTATTCTGAGCCTCCCAGTGAAGCGGGCAAGAGAGGATTGCCCTGGGCTTGGGGCAGACCAAGCGGGGCTGGGTGGAGGTGGAGGTGAGAGCGGGGTGGTGCGCAGCAGGAAGCGGCAGGCTCAGTCAGTGGCAGAGCAGTTCCAGCAGCAGGGGGTGAGCAGCCGCGTGCAGGACGAGGAGGGAGCCCTTGTGGATGCTCTGCTGCTGGAGGAGCATCAGCAGATGCACGGAGGAGGAGGGAGGAGGCGAGTGCAATCAGCCCTGTGGCCACGTATGGAGTGGGAGAGCGCCCTTCCAGATGATGTGCTGCTGGGGGTCAGCAGCCTTGATGCTGGCTTCACCGCACCGCATGCACCAATGCCAGTGCCGCTGCCCACAGCTGCGCTGGCTGGTTCCGTCCCTGGGCGGATGGGCAGCAGCACTGGAGGGACGCTCGTTGTGAGTAGTTGCACCCAACCAGAGCTGGACACGTGCAGCGTGGCGCATGATAATGTTGCTCTTTTTTTCGACACGCCCCTGGATCCCCTGTTGCTGCCTGGACACGCCCCTACTGTCCCCCAGTTACCACAGTGGCAGCCCTGCCGTGTGCCCTGGGCGGGTGGGCCCCAGGGACGGGTGCTGCCAGGCACAGCTGGTGGTGGGGTAGCGCTGGCAGAGTGGGCGTTGGAGCAGCGAAACAGCAGGAAGGGAGGTGCTCAAGCGCACCGGGGTCATGGGCACCTACAGCCGCTGCCACAACCCCTGCCACAGCCACAGCCTCTGTCCCAGCCACAGCCACTGTCACAGCCACTGTCACAGCCACTGTCACAGCCACTGTTCCAGGCGCCCCTACGGTCAGCCCTTTCTCATAAACCAGGGGCCCCCGGCTTCACCGGTGCACTGTCCACGCCCTCGAACCCAAGGGGCTTGCACACGCAAGCTCCCATGCAGCCCCACCATGCCTTGCTGCAGGAGCCCTTGGCCGCCGGTGCTTTACCAACTCTCAAGAACCTGGCGTTACGTCGGCCTGACATAGCCAATGCTCTGGAAGGTGGTGGAGCTGCCTTGCATGCCACTGTTGGCCATGGGCTCAACTCGGATGTCCACGCCTTGGATAATTTTCATGCGCTTGGAGGAACAACTGAGTTGAAGTTTGGAAATAATTGGAATGGGGCCATGGTTGACCACATCAAGGAAACACATGAATCATTTTATTCCCCGGGTACTGCCATGCTCGATAGTGGGATGTCTCCATCCCAAGATATACTTATCCAGAGTGTTTGGGGTCTTTCTGACCACGATCCTGAGATTTCACCGAGCTTAATAGAAGCCATGCTGCTCTGTTCGTCACACAGAATTGTGGAGCTTAAATGACAATTCGTAGGATTGTGTTTTCTGTTTATTTTCGAGTGTAACGATTCCTATTTCTCGCTTCATATACCCGATTTTATCCTCCCTTCAACAGTTGAGTGGAGAAGTTGGTTGTGGTAGCGTAGGCGAGGAGGGCTGGCTGCTCGATCTGCTCACAAAACCTGCCGCTCGAGTCGCTCACCGTCCGTTAGGCTCTAACGGCTCCGATTTAACGTCACTCTTGAATGCTACCATGGCATCAATGCTCCTCAGCTCCTCGTTTCACCGTGTCGGCTCTCACTCGCTCTGCATCTTGATTTTTTTGTCCTTATCTGGATCCATGACTCAGCACGCTGCGAAGGACCGCAATCATGACAGCCATTGCATCCCGTTGGTCATAACCGCGCGTGACCGAGTACTGGCAGCAGGATCGCGTCAGATCCGATGTGTTAATCAGGACGCGGGCCGTTCACCCCAGCTTACACCGAGTCGGATGAATGAACTCTCGAGGCGAAGGTGTGCAGCCCACTGCTCCGCATGGGTGCGGACGGACTCTCGTGAAAGTTGACGTTCATTCCGAGTCGGACCCGGCCATCATTGCCAATCGTGGTGGGAGTCGAGTCGGGGTTCGCATCGAGTCTGTTCATCGCCGCGGTCGGGTGAGTGTGCCATGTGTCATAGGAAGGATAGGAGCCACCGGGGATGTAGCGCCTGCGACCCTACACAAGGGTTCAACAGGTCACCGCTGCGCCTCTGAACAACCCCCGTGTTGGCTCGGGGGTCTAGCGGGGCGTTATAGCAACAACACTAGGGTTCGTGCTACCACCTTATCATCGGCCTTGAGTTCTGCTTCCGCTCCGTTCTTGCTCTTCAATCTTACGCTCCATTCGGAACGTGCCAGGCTGGCGGGTTTCCGTTAGCAATCTCTTCTGAGGGTTGAAGGATGGGCCGTCCGGTGATGCGAGGCAACAGCCTCGCGGCAAGCATGAGATCTGCTTCTTGTGTGACCCTGTACCGAACGTGCGGTCCCCCTGTTCTGCAGAGAATTGGATTCGAGCCATTCTCAACGCTTTCATTGCTTCCGCTTCACGTTGAATGGGGAGGAGGACGCGGTGCTGCTGCGCCACGTGCTGCAGTGCGGCACGAAGCAGTGGGGCGAGCTGGGGAGGAACAGCAAGTCGTGCTGTAACCGTTAGATCTTTCTCAGACGGTAACCCTGCATGCGGCGCAACCGCTTTCAGGTAACAGTGCTGAACCGTTTCTGTTTCACCCACTTCTTTGTTGTTGCAATAGGTCCCTTCACCGCTTTCACCAGCGCATCTGGGGTTCTCCCGTCTCAGGCGGCACTGCTCTGCTCTCCCAAGGCATATATTTCTGCAAAGTCAGGCGCTACAGCAGTAGCAGGAGGAGGAGGAGGAGGAGGAGGAGGAGGAGGAGGAGGAGGAGGAGGAGGAGGAGGAGGAGGAGGAGGAGGAGGAGGAGGAGGAGGAGGAGCAAGAGCAGCAGCAGCAGCAGCAGCAGCAGCAGAAGCACTTTTGTGGGATCTCACCGCCAGTCGCTATCTGCTGCTCTTACGTTGGTGGGCTGTCCTTCGATGAGTGCAGGCACGTGTTCCTCTCACAGAGACAGCTGAGCCTGAGGCGACCCTCTCCTCTGGATTTAGCACGGCTGCTGTTGAATCCCGTTGCCCCTTGGTCCGTCCGCCATCTTTCCAGGCGCGAGCACAGCAGCACGGCGGAGCGAGTCACACGGCGCTGCGGGTGCTGGAGGGGCTGGATGGAAGAAAGAGTTGGGAGCAGTTGAAAGAGAAGGGGGGGTGTGCAGGAGAGAAGGGCGAGCACAACTGGGAAGTAGCCCAAGCTGAGAGCAGCGGGGGATAGATGGGGGAATCTGAGAGCAGCGGGGGATAGATGGGGGAATCTGAGAGCAGAGGGGGATAGATGGGGGAATCTGAGAGCAGAGGGGGATAGATGGGGGAATCTGAGAGCAGCGGGGGATAGATGGGGGAATCTGAGAGCAGCGGGGGATAGATGGGGGAATCTGAGAGCAGCGGGGGATAGATGGGGGGATCTGAGAGCAGCGGGGGATAGATGGGGGAATCTGAGAGCAGAGGGGGATAGATGGGGGGATCTGAGAGCAGCGGGGGATAGATGGGGGAATCTGAGAGCAGAGGGGGATAGATGGGGGGATCTGACAGCAGAGGGGGATACATGGGGGGATCTGAGAGCAGCGGGGAAAAAAGGGGAGATGGAAACAGTTGGTTGAAGGAGGGGGAGCTGGGAGCAGTGAGGGGAAGGAGAGGAAGGTGGGAGCATTGGTAGGAAGTGCATTGGAGTCAGATGTAAGTGACAAGGTGAGGGTGGGTGGCGTGGGATGGGATGCGTAATTTGGGACTGAGTGGAGTGAAACAAGGGTGAATGGAGTAGGCTGGGATGGTTGGGGTTGGATTTGGATGGGAAGGCCATGAAGGATAATGGGTTGAAGGATAATGCGTTCATAGCGTTCTCCATAGCGTTTTTGTGTCCTCCATAGCGTTCTCTGTTATGTAGTGAAACTGTTTTCAGACTCTGTTGACGGGTATGATTGTATGGAGCGTTTTGGTTAAGTAGCTGGAAAGTAGCTGAAAAACTGGACCACCCTCTGTTATAGCACCTCTAAACATAGTGCATACTGAAATCACCTACCGGTGTTTTTCCACCCAAAGCATGTACACCCCACACCAGTTAACCAGGAAGGCGACCTTTCACGCTTAGGAAGAGGCAGGCAGGCAGACTGCTCCAGTTGGCCGCTGACGTATGGTCCGCTGACCGCAACAACTGATCCACGCAGGAACATAATCCTCTCCGTAACATAATCCTCGAGATTGGTTTCGCTCCCCAAGTCTTGCTCGAGATACGGCATTCCACCGCAGTAGCTTGATAGGTCAACAATGTCTTCCCCATCCGTGCATCTGGATTGGATGTGCAAGCTTGGGGGAGCGGCAGCTGCAGCCAATGGCATCGTCTTGGTCTTAGTTTCCACCACTGTCCATTTGGAACAAGAACGTTTCGACAGTTGGCACGACTGGCAGATCTTCACGTGTCCACATAATGGTGGCTCCTTCTCCGAGATTTCTTACACTCCGGTGTACTATGACACGCCCAGTTCCGAGGACCTCGGATGCAGTACACTATACACTGTAAAGTCTACTAATACTGTGCTCGTTGTTTCCTAGTAGCGGAGGGGTTTTGAATGTGAGGTGCCAGCCGGGCAGGCTACATACTTCAAGCCACAGCAATAATTACGTTCATTCCATGCCCTCGTCATCGGTGCCACTTTGCCCACACTTAGCATCCTCCTCTCTCGCACCCCTTCCACTGTTGTCCTCCCATCGCACACCTTCTGATGCCGTGCGACTCGAAGCCTCGCTGGTTGCGTCGGGAAGTGCCAAGGGGCATTCCACTGCTGCGATCAAGACTCAGCCCTGTTGGCAAGCGGCAGAATCAAAGAGGGCCAATGGTGGACCCTAGCCCACAATCAGGCCTCGTGCATGCGTTGCTGCTCGTCCATACTGACCCGCAAAGGTCGTTCGCTCCGTGGGCCGCCAGGTTTGAACCAAGGTCGATAGATACAAGATTATCCGGGTTTCATCTTTCTTTCAAGAGACGGTTTATCTAAAGTTAATTTCTTTCTAGATTGTCCTGGACTCTCGTGACTGCTGACCCATTCGAACACCGTGGTGGTACCGCTTTTAAGAACCGCAGTTTGGTCGCCATGCCGCATTCATCTGAAGCCGTTGACTCACCGCCGGTCTCGCAACCCTCGTCGCCGCTCGGAATGCAGCCATGGTCGCGAGAGGTGGGTCGCGAGAGGCGGTGGGTCGCGAAAAGAGTGTTCAGAGGAGAATCTCTCAAGCCCTCCCGATTTTCCTTGCTATGTTGGAGCGATTTAAATACCAGTGCGTAGAACACGCTTAGTGTGCCTTGGGCCGCCGCGGTCTTTACGCTCACTGCTCATGATGGCAATGCTGTCACCCTCCCTCACTCTCACGGCAGGAGGACGCCGTTCTGTTGCGCCACGCGCTGCAGTGCGGCACGAAGCAGTGGGGCGAGCTGGAGAGGAGCGGTCAGCTCAAGAGGAGCAACAAGTCGTGCTGTAACCGTTACATCTTCCTCCGAAGGTAGTAACCGTGCATGCCGCATGCATAATTTCTTGAGCTCAGGTTTCTTGATACGCGTGAGCGTTTCTAACACACTTCCGCCTTTCGTAACACCTCAGCCTTTCTGCTCTGTGGCCGTGCGTTGATGGCAGGAAGTTCACTCAGCACTTTGACGAGAGCTTCCTGAGAAATCACCTGGGAGGTGCTGCGTTCCTCCAGGGCGTTTTATTGGACGGAGACAGTTCGCAGCTGCTCTGTCGGGATTTCCTGCAGCAGCAGAGTCCGGAGCGCGTGGGTTCAGCTGCTCTCGCGTTCGGAGGGCTGTCGTTTGATGAGTGCACGGCCGTCTTCTTTGCCCCCAACGCACGCTGCTGCCGCCAAGCACCCTCACTGAACCTCTCTTCTCTCGCCAGCCCCCCTGCCTCCCAAGCCGCCAGCGTCTCTGCCACTGCGGCTGCTTCTATTGCCGAGTTTCCAGTGTCCCATCCCGTTGCTGCTGCCACCAATGCTGCTCCGCGTCGTGCGCTGAAGCGACCAAGGGACGACTCCCCCACGCTTGGGGCACAGCAACCGCTGCTCGGAGGGCGCGAGAGCTGCTTCGTGCCAAGGAAGTTGGTGCGAGGCGGGGTGTTGCGAAGCACGGAGCGCCGTCAGTCAGTGGCAGAGCTGTTTGAGCAGCAGGGGGCGAGCAGCCGCGCACAGGCAGCGGACGAATCCCTTCTGGAGGCGCTGCTGCAGGAGGAGCATCGCCAGCAGCAGCAGGGAGGAGTGGGTAGCGTGTTGTGGCCGCGCGTTGGGTCGGAGAGTGCCCTTCCAGACGACGTGCAGCTGGGGTGCAGCAGTGACAAACCTGCCTCCAGGCAACGAGCTGCTCCATCTGCTCCTCCGCCCACCCAGCCGCACGAAGCACTGGCAGCGTCAATGCCTTCCCAGGTCGCTGCTCTGCCTGGCACCGCTCCCTGCTTTGGCAATTCCACGCCTTGCTGTGGGGATTTCGCTCCTTGCATTGGGGATTTCGCAGTGCACCGGGAGGAGTGGCTCCGTGTTGCGTCAGAGAGTGCCCTTCCAGACGACGTGCTGCTGGGACTCTGCTGCGAGGACCCTGCCTCTGCGCAACGAGCTCCTCTGTCCGCTCCTGCACCCGCCCAGCCATTCGCAGCACCGATGCCCTCGCCGCTCGCTGGTCTCCCTGGCCCCGTTTGTGGTAGCGCGAGCAGGCACGTTACAGCGATGCTTGCCGGGAGTACCTGTGGCACGCAGGAGCAGGAATACCTGGATGCATGCTTTGACGTGCTCGGCAACATAACCAACACTGACAACAATGACAAGCACAGTGGCAGGGACAACGGTGCTCTCTTTCTCGACACGCCCGTGGCTCATGTGCTGCTGGGTGGGAGTGCCCTCACCGTGCCCTTGGCGAGTGGACCTCAGGCTGAGGGGCCTGCCATCCCACGTGCTGCTGCCACAGCCCTGCCAGAGTGGGCGGAGGAGCAGGGAGCGGTCGGGGAGGGAGTCGCCAAGGGGCACAGGCAGCAGCAGTTTCTCACCCAGGAGGGCGTGCTTGCGCAGTGGAAGCCTTGTCAGTACCTTGAGCTTGACCGCATGCTCTCCCTGCCACCGCACCAGCCACAGCTGCAGTCACAGCCACCGCCACAGCTGCTCCCAAAGCCACTCTTACAGTTACCGACACACGCGCCTTGGCTGTCTGTGCCTTCTCAACATCCAAGGTCTCCATTGAATGTGCGTTCAACCCCAAGAGGGTTGCACTTGCAAGTTCCCATGCAGCCACGCCCGGCCGTGCTGCAGCCCATCTCCACTGGTGGTGATTTACTGGCTCTCTGCAGCCCCTTACTTCCTCCGTTGCCTGGCATGACCGTTACATGAGGAGGCGACGGCATGCCCTGAATGCCACAGCTGGTCATGAGCTCAGCTTGGGTGTGCGTGCGCTGCCCGACTCGACTAATCTTTTCAAGGAGGAACGAATTTGACACTAACGGGGATGGGGTAATGATTGACTACCACAAGAATGTTGTGCTTGAGCACTTGGACTTCACAGACAGCCGTTCTTCCAGATGGGATGCCTCCAGGCTTCATCCCAGTATACACACATGTTCGTTCGTCATTCTAAGAATGCACAGCATTCTGTCTTTGACACTGAGTTGCTGAACTGAGGCTAATACTACTGGTATAGTTGTGCCTTCTGACTTCGTAATGTAACATTGTATGTTTTTACCTGGCAATTGCTTCTAACAGTCGTAATATCCACGTCACATTCACCTTCCTGGATCGTTGTTTCGGAGGCCCCTGCGGATTCGCTGTGCCCAACCGCAGGCCCATGTGCTGATGCTGAGCTGGTAGGGATAGAATCACCTGCCTGAATCACAAACCTTAAAGCATGACCGCTACTCAAGTCCCGCACCGGTGCCTCCAATGGCCTGTAGTACACGCCCTCAACTCAACCCCAAGAGGCTCGCACATGCAAGCTCCCTTACTGCCATGCCCTGTCATGCTGCTGCAGCCCCTCTCCTCTGGTGCTCTACCATCTCTCTGCCACCTCTCAGAGACTGAGATACTACAGAGATTGATCCTTAGGGTAAGGAGGGGGGGTACAAGAAGAGATTTTCTGTACCCCCTAAGATGCACCCCACTACAGCATATCTAAATCGATACATAGCTTGACACCACCCCTACATCTCAGGTTTCAAAACCCGGTGCACCGGGGCGTGCCGAGGCATTCCGCAGCATATTTCCTGCACTCGTTAGAGGGAAGACGTTGGAGGGTTGGCACTGTTCGCAGCAAGAACGAAAAGAGTTTGTTGGCTCCAAGTTGACATGGTAGTGTACAGTACAGTGCGCTGCGCTGAGAAATAAATGTTCAAACCCCATGCGAGCACCCACCACCACTCTCACATTGGCCAGAAAGGTGACATTCATTCTCGGGAAGAGGTAGGCATAGCAGACACCTCCACTTGGCTGGAACTGCTGACGAGCGGCAGACATGAGTCCTGCGCAGCGTTCGCCTAGCCCCTGACTGCCTGTATTGCACGCCATAATTCCCAAGATGTTATCGGCTCCTCCAGTCTTGCGGCATTCAGTAGCAGTTGCCTGCCAGGTCAACAATGTCTTCCCCTTCCGCCGGTGTGCAGTGCACCTGGATTGGATGTGCGAGCTGGCCGGGAGGCCGATAGGAGCTGGCAGCTGCAGCCAGCGGCGTCGTTTGTCTATCCACTACCCGATTTCGAAAGAAACGCAAACGTCTGGACAGTTTTCACCGCTGGCCGGTGTTCACGTGCCTCGTATCACAGACGACCCCCGCCATTCCACATGCATGTGACAGGCCGATTTCGAGAGGATCATCAGATGCTAGTGTGCTTTATATTATTAAATATCAGGTCGCCACCTCCTATTGGAGGGTTCACGTCCGGAAATGTCGGACATCAGGCCACAACTAAGCGAGTGCAATGATTACCGATACCCCTTCTCGTCAGCCCACTTGGCCACACTTCACCGCAGCATCCTTGCGCGCGCATCGCATCGCATCACCACCTTCCAGCTACAATCCGTCGCACACCTCCTTCCACACGAGTGGCCAGCTGTGCGCGTTTGACGAAGAAATGCGGCGAGAAAGCATCCCTCGCATGCCAAGTCGAGAAGAAACCCTGTCGCGCGAGGCGGCATCTTCAAACAGGCGCACAATCAGAGCCCGGGCCTGAACGCCACTGTGGCAATCATAGTCTGGGACTGATCCCCTGCCCACAATCACGCCTGGGCTTTGTGCATGGGTCGATGACGTCGCTCCATTCCCTCATGAAGAGGGATAGAGTCTTGCGAGACTCAAAGTCATGCTTTCGTCAGTTAGCTCTCATGTCTGAAAACCAGCACTACTACCACCGCTATCACGAGCAGCTCGACCGCTGTTGCAACCGTTGCGCTGTGGGCTGGGCTAGTGTTAAGGCATCCGCTGCGCCTAAAGAGCAACCTCGTTTTGGCTCAGCAGCTCGACCACTGTTGCAACCGTTGCGCTGTGGGCTGGGCTAGTGTTAAGGCATCCGCTGCGCCTAAAGAGCAACCTCGTTTTGGCTCAGCGAGGCGTTATAGCCATTATGCCGCATTCCTCTGAAGCTGTTGACTCCCCGACCTCGCAATCTCAATCCTCCTCGCCCAGCATGCAGCCATGGTCGCGAGAGGTGGTTCTCCAGAGGTGGGTTGCGAGAGGCGGTCGCGGCGAGGGGTGCGTCCGGAGGATTTCAAGATCCGCCGGATTCTAGGCTTGAAATGGGATTCACAAATCAATTTAGCATTTCCCCTGTTATGTCAGAATTCACACCCCAATGCCGCTCATCATGGGAATGCCGCACTCGCTCTGTCTTTCCCTCTGCTGCGCACTGGGTGGGCAGGAGGACGCGGTGCTGCTGCGCCACGCGCTGCAGTGCGGCACGAAGTAGTGGGGTGAGCTGGGGAGGAGCGGTCAGCTCAAGAGGAGCAACAAGTCGTGCTGTAACCGTTACATCTTCCTCCGAAGGTAACCCATGCTTCATGCCACATTTGTGGTTTTCTGAATCCAGGCGTCTTGATACCCATGAGCATTTCTAACACGACTCAGCCTTCCATGACGCCTCTTCTATCCTGTGGCCGTGTGCTGGTGGCAGGAAGTTCACAGACCGCTTTTGCCAGAACTTCCTGCGAAAGCACCTGGGAGCTGCTGCACTCTCGCAGCATAATCTATTGGACGGCCACAATCAGCCATTGCTCTGTCAGGATCGCAAGCAGCAGCAATCGGAGCATTCGGAGGGCGTGGGAGCAGCAGCCCTGGCGTTCGGAGGGCTTTCGTATGAGGAGTGCGTGACGGCGTTCCTCGCCCCCCATGCTCGATGCTGCCTCCCACCCGCCCCACCCAACCTCTCATCCCTCGTCGCCACCCCTCCCCTTGCTTTCCAAGGTCCTCCTCCTGCTTCCCAAGCTCCTCCACCTGCTTCCCAAGCTCCTCCTCCTGCTTCCCAAGCTCCTCCTCCTGCTTCCCAAGCTCCTCCTCCTGCTTCCCAAGCTCCTCCTCCTGCTTCCCAAGCTGCCCCCTTCTCTGCGGCTGTCGCGTCTACCACGGAGTGCCCATTCGCCCGTCATGCCGTCCCTGTTGCTGCTGCCTCCACCGCCGCTGCTTTGCGTTGCCCAGCGAAGCGGCCACGGGGCGACAGCCCCGGCCTGACAGCAGGCCAACCGGTGAGTGGGGGAAACGAGAGCTGGGTGGTGCGAGGCGGGGTGGCGTTTGGCACGGAGCGCCGGCGTCAGTCAGTGGCAGAGCAGTTCAAGCAGCAGGGGGCGAGCAGCCGCGTGCAGGAGACAGAGGAAGCAGCCCTTCTGGAGGCGCTGCTGCAGGAGGAGCATCGCCAGCAGCAGCAAGGAGGAGCGGGTAGCAGGGCGCAGCGGGTGCTGTGACCGCGCGTTGGGTCGGAGAGTGCCCTTCCTAACGACGTGCTGCTAAAATCTAACAATGGGGTCCCTGCCTTCACGCAACACGCCGCTCTATCTGTTTCTCCGCCCTCCCAACTCGTTGCTCTGCCTGGCTCCACTCCCCGCAATGGTGATTCCACTGCCTGGTGTGGGGATTTCGCTCCTTGCATTGAGGATTTTGCTCCCTGCGTTGAGGATTTCGCAATGCAGCGGGTGGACTGGCCCCCCGTTGGGTCGGAGAGTGCTCTTCCAGACGACGTGCTGCTGGGACTCAGCTGTGAGGACCCTGCTTTCATGCAAGGCACCGCTTTCTCTGCTCCTCTGCCAACCCAGCCACTCACAGCGCTGCCATTAGCAATGCTCCCCAAACTCGCTGCTCTGTCTGGCTCCGCTCCTTGCATTGGGGATGGTTCCACACTGCAGAGGGTGGAGTGGCCGCGCGTTGGGTCGGAGAGTGCCCTTCCAGACGACGTGCTGCTGGGACTATGCTGCGAGGGCCCTGCCTCCGCACAACGTGCTGCTCTCTCTGCTCCTCCGCCCACCCAGCCATGCGCACCCGTTGCTCTTTGTGCCTCCGCTCCCGGCAGCACGAGCAGTTGCATTGCAGTGGTGCTTGCGGGGAGTACGTGTGGCACTTAGGAGCTGGAATACGTTGATGCATGCATCGACGCGCTCTGGAACGGAAGCAACACGGACAACAACAGCAACGGCGCTGACAACGGGGGCATTGACAACCACAGTGACAGGGACAAGGGTGCTCGCTTTCTCAACACGCCTGTTGTTCATGTGCTGCTGAGTGGGAGTGCCCTCGCCATGCTCTTGCCCAGTGGGCCTCAGTCTCAGGGGCCTGCACCCCGTTGCGCTGCTGGGACAGCCACAGGTGCTGCTGGGACTGCCCTGTCAGAGTGGGCGGTGGAGCAGGGAGTGACCGCGGAGGGAAGTCGCCAGCAGCAGTTTCTTACCCAAGAGGTCACGCTTGCGCAGTGGAGTGCTCGTCAGCACTTAGAGCTTGAGCAAATTGTCTCACTGCCACCGCACCAGCCACAACCACAGCCATTGCCACTGCCACTGCCACCAACGCCATGGCTGAGAGTGCCTTGTCAACTTCCACTGGCCCCAGGCGCCACCAATGGCCTTTACACGGCCTCAAACCCAAGGGGCTCGCACATGCAAGCCCCCATACTGCCGCGCCGTGCCGTGCTGCAGCAGCCCTTCTCCTTTGGTGCTCTGCCATCTCTCTTCCACCCCCCTGTTGCCTCCTGTCATGGGATCAGCTTGGATGTGCGCGGCTCTACTGATCTGTTCAGCGAACAACTTACTCGATTCTGACAGGGATGGGGTTATGAGTGACCAAAAGATTGCTGTGCATACGGCGCATACTTCTTCTGGCCGTATTAAGATTGCAAAACGTTTTGCTGACTTGCTCACAACAGATGCTGTTAAGTGAAGAATGTGTAATCAATTGTGTAGCTTCTTTTGTACGTATTCAACGGCAACAAGTAAATAGTATTGCACTAACGGGGTAAAATTAGTACGGTACAATGCGTGGGTAGATGGGCGCATAAGCATCTCATATCGACGTTATCCTATCCATCTCCTTTAACACTTGGAGCAATCCCCCTTTCATGCATATGGTTGTTGGCATTGTGAAAGATTGTGGGAAGTACATTTATGGCGTATACATATATGTTACTGTGTTTTGTAGTGGAACTGTTGCACACATTGTTGACTCGTATGCTGACGCTAAGGAGTACATATTGTTGACTCTTTCAGGGGGAGAGGCGGGCATTCTTCAAAAGAATAGGCAGGGACCGCACATTCGATTTTAGCACAACTTGACACAGTGCATCTTGAAATGAATGATTATTTTCATCCCACGCGAGTACAACACCCACACACGCAGAAGAGGCAGCCACACACACACCTCCTCACCACACAGTCAAGGGTACAACAGTTGGCCGGTCCCTAAAGTGCTATTGCACGCCATAACCCTCAAGATAGTATCCGTTCCGTTTCCAACCTTGCTCGTGATGCGGCATTCAGCAGCAGCTGCTTGTTGCTTGATGCTTGACAGGTCAACAATGTCTTCTTTCGGGCACCTGAAGTGGTTGGAGGTGGGCCAATCGGTTTTGTGCAGCTTCAGCCAGCAGCTTCGTACGAAACGTCCGATGGTGTAGTGTTGTCTCGATCAACTGTCCGATTCGAACAATCCCATGCGTTAGGACAGCTTTCAAAGCTGACCGGTGTTCACGTGCCTCGTGTCGCACGACGGACTCCTCCCATCCACAGAGGCCGATTTTGAAAGGACCCCGTACAGAGTACTTTATCCGATTCAGTACTAGGTTTCCAACTTCTATAGGAGGGCGTGAGAGCGAGAATGCCGGAAATCAGGCTACAACTAGGCGAGTGCAATGATTCCCGTGGTACCCCTGCTCGTCAGTCCACTGGTCCGCACATTTGTGACGTCACCCGCTTCCACCTGCCCTTCTGTGCGGAGAGGCTCCTTCCGTCGCACACCTCCTGCCCCGCGAGTCGCTGGCTGCGCGCGTTTGAGAAGGCAAATGCGACGAGAAGGCAAGGCGAAGCCATGCCACGAATCGTCCACATTTGGCATTTCTCGCCCGAGGCGGCAAGGCTCACAGCCCCGGGGGTGAACCCCAGCTCGGGGGGCATGGCAAGCCTGGGTCTTCTGGGTCATTCCGTTCCCTCTTGAAGAGGGATACCATCCAAAAATGGGAACGCAATAATCACTCTGACTCATGTTTTCTTCAGTTGCCTGCCCGCCATGTCCCATTCCTTTAAAGCCGTTGCCTCGCCTTCCTCGCAATCCGCGTCGCCCGGCATGCAGCCATGGTCGCGAGAGGTGGGTTGCAAGAGGTGCTGGGTCGCGAAAAGAGCGTCCAAGTTCCTCCGGATTTTAGTAGGGTTGAAAAGTGATTCCGAATCAGGATTCAATGTTGCAAGTCCTTCCTTGTTATGTTGTGGGATAGTACTCTCCTTGGTGCGTCAGGACACATTAGTGTGCCTTGAGAATGCCGCTCATCGGAATGCCGCACTCGCTCTGTCTTTCCCTCCGCTGCGCACTGGGTGGGCAGGAGGACGCGGTGCTGCTGCGCCACGCGCTGCAGTGCGGCACGAAGCAGTGGGGCAAGCTGGAGAGGAGCGGTCAGCTCAAGAGGAGCAACAAGTCGTGCTGTAATCGTTACATCTTTCTCCGAAGGTATCCCCGCATGCCTCCGAATGTAACCGTCTTGGTACGCCTGAGCATTTCTAACACCTCTCCTCTCCCGTGGCCGTGTGGTGATGGCAGAAAGTTCACAGAACGCTTACGCCAGAACCTCCTTCTAAAGCACCTGGGAGTTGCTGCATTCCCCCAGGCCCATGTTTCATTGGACGGCCACAGTCAGCCATTGCTCTGTCAGGATTTGAAGCAGCAGCAGCAGCAGCAGTCGGAGCATTCGGAGGGCGTGGGAGCAGCAGCCCTGACGTTCGGAGGGCTGTCGTACGAGGAGTGCGCGACGGCGTTCCTCGCCCCCCATGCTCGCTGCTGCCTCCCTCCCGCCCCGCCCAACCTCTCATCCCTCGTCGGCCCTCCTCCTGCTTCCCAGACTTCTTTTCCTGCTTCCGAAACTGCTGCGTTCTCCGCTGCTGCTGCTTCTACCACCATCAGGTTTCCAATCTCCCATGAAGCCTTCCCCGTTGCTGCTGCCTCCAACGCCGCTGCTCTGCGTCGTGCGTTGAAGCGACCAAGAGACGACTGTGAGTGGAGGGGGGCCGACCAACGTCTGCCGGGTGGACGTGACAGCCGGTTGGTGCAAAGCGGGTTGGTGAGGAACGGGAAGGTGAGAGACGGGATGACGTGTAGCATGGAGCGCTGGCACCAGTCAGTGGCACAGCAGTTCCAATAGCAAGGGGCGAGCAGCTGCATGCAGCAGCAAGGGGAGAGCAGCTACATTCAGCAGCAGGGGGAGAGCAGCTGCATGCATCAGCAGGCATCAGAAGAAGCCCTTTTGGAGGTTGTGCTGCAGGAGGAGCATCAAGGAGGATTGAGGAGGACCAGGGTGCAGCGGGTGTTGTGGCCCCGAATCGGGTCAGAGAGTGCCCTTTCAGACGATGTGCTTCTGAAATTCGACAATGGGGTCCGTGCCTTCACGCAACGCACTGCTCTATCTGCTCCTCCGCCCACCCAGCCGCCCAAACCTCTTCCGTTGCCAATGCCCCCCCAACTCGCTGCTCTGCCTGGTTCCGCTCCCTGCACTGGTAGTTCCACCCCCTGTGGGGATTTTGCGATGCAGCGGGTAGAGTGGCCGCACGTTGGGTCGGAGAGTGCCCTTCCAGACGACGTGCTGCTGGGGTGCAGCAGCGACGAATCTGCCTTCATCCAGCGCTCTGCTCTTTCGGCTCCTCCACCCACCCTGCCTCTCGCAGCGCTGCCAGTGCCAATGCCGCCTCAGCTCGCTGCTCTGTCTGGCTCTGCTCCCTGCATTGGGGATTTCGCAGTGCACGGGGAGGAATGGCTCCGCGTTGGGTCGGAGAGTGCCCTTCCAGACGACGTGCTGCTGGGACTCTGCTGTGAGGACCCTTCCTCCGCGCAACCTGCTGCTCTCTCTGCTCCTGTGTCTGCTCCTGCGCCCGCCCAGCCACTCGCAGCACAGATGCCCTCGCCGCTCGCTGGTCTGCCTGGCCCCGCTCGTGGCAGCTCGAGCAAATGCGTTACTGCGATGCTTGCCGGGAGTACGTGTGGCACACAGGAGCTGGAATACCTGGATGCATGCATTGACATGCTCAGCAACATAACCAACACTGACAACATTGACATGCACAGTGGCACGCACAGTGGCAAGGACAACGATGCTCTCTTTCTCGACACGCCCGTGGCTCACGTGCTGCTGGGTGGGAGTCCCCTCGCCGCGCCCTTGGCAAGTGGACCTCACGCTGGGGGGCCTGCCGTCCCACGTGCTGCTGGGACAGCCCTGCCAGAGTGGGTGGAGGAGCAGGGAGGGACCGGGGAAGGAGGTGGTGAGGGGCACAGGCAGCAGCAGTATCTCGCCCAGGAGAGCTTGCTTGCGCAGTGGGAGCCTTGTCAGTACCTCGAGCTTGACCGCATGCTCTCCCTGCCACCGCACCAGCCACAGCTTCATTCACAGCCACCGCCACAGCTACTCCCCAAGCCACTCTTACGGTTACCAACACGAGTGCATTGGCTGTCTGTGCCTTGTCAACGTCCAAGGGCTCCATTGAACGCGCATTCGACCCCAAGAGGGTCACACATGCAAGTTCCCATACAGCCAAGCCCAGCCATGCTGCAGCAGCACTTCCCCATTGGTGCTCCACCGGCTCACTGCAGCCCCATGCTCCCTCCGTTACCTGACATGACCCTTACATCAGGATGCGACAGCATACCCTGAATGCCACAGCTGGTTATGAGCTCAGCTTGGGTGTGTGGTGCTGCTCGACTCGGACTAATCGTTTCAAGGAAGAACGGATTTGATACTAACAGGGACGGGTTAATGATTGACTAAAAGAATGTTGTCTATGAGCACTTGGACTTCACATATATCTGCTCTTCCCCATGGGATGTCTCGAGGCTTCATCCCAACATATACGCATATTCGCTTGTCATCAGGCCCTCAGATTCGTTTTGGGCCACACTTTCTCGTCAGTGTTGGTCCTAAAAAAAAACTCTGTCAGGGTCGTTACAAAAGTAAACCCTGAAAAATCAGTGTTGTCACATAAAAAGAAACTTTCTCATCAGGGCTGGTACATTTTTTAACGCTTATGTAACCAGCCTTCATCATGATGTGACGGGAACGGGGGGAGGGAGACAGTGGTGGTGCAGCAATGGTGGTCCAGGTTAGGCAATCACGTGTGCTAAAGGTCTCTGTTTTGTCACGTTATCAGACAAGCGCTCGCAAGCAACAGTCGGGAATGTTCCTCAACAACCTTTCGGGAGCATTGCGCAGTGCCATGTCACCCCACGCTTTGTGTCTCGCACTTCGCCAAACAAATGGTGTCTGAGGCGAGTCTGACAAGATGTAGATAAGGGGGGTGTAGGAAACAGCCCTAAGATGCCGTTTCACGTAATTGACGGAGATGGGGAAATTTTTGGGCGAATTTTTTGCCAGATTCATCGAATCTTGGCGATTTCGCTAACAGGGATGGCCCCACTACTGTATGATTCGAATCAGGGTCCCCTAGCAAAAGTAGGCTGAAAATTCAGTCCTGGTACACAAAAGTTAGCCGAAAAAACAGAGTAGGCATTAAAAAAAAAACTTTCTCATCAGGGTTGGGACCTAGAAATTCCCTGCAAATCAGGGTTCAAAGGCAAAATCAGGGTAAAATTCCTGCAATCTGAGGGCCTGCTTGTCATTCTAATGCTGCACAGCATTCTGTCTTTTCCCGAGAAATTAATGTTCAAACCCCACGCGAGCACCCACACACTTGGCCAGAAAGTTTGACCTTCAAGCTTGGGTGGGAAGAAGAGTAAAGGCACGGCAGACACCTCCACTTGGCTGCTGCTGCTGAAGCTGACGAACGGCAGACGGGACTCGTGCACAACACTCCTCTAGTCCCTAACTGCTATGCACGCCGTAATTCCCACGATAGTATCGGCTCCTTCTTCTGTCTTGCTCGCAATGCGGCATTCAGCAGCAGTTGCCTGCCAGGTCAACAATGTCTTCCCCTTCCGTACACCTGGATTGGATGTGCGAGCTGGGCGGGAGGCCGATAGGAGCTGGCAGCTGCAGCCAGCAGCGTCGTTTGTCTCCATCCACTGCCCGATTTCGAACGAAACGCAAACGTGTGGACAATTTTCACCACTGCCGGTGTTCACGTGCCTCCTATCACACGACGAACTCCCCCCATTCCACACTCATGAGATAGGCCGTTTTTAGGGGACCATCAGATGCTTATTCGATTTAATATTAGGTGGCCGTCTCCTATTGGAGGGTCTGAGTGCGGGAATATCGGTCATCAGGCCACAGCTAGGCGAGTGCAATGATTCTGGTACCCCTCCTTGTCACTCCACTTGGCCCACACTCGTCAGTCCGCATCGCATTGTCACTCACGCATCACCGCATTCACGCACCGCCGCGTCACCTCACCCCCTTCCAACTGCCCTTCCATCGCACGCCTCCTGCGTCGCGAGTCGCCGGCTGCGCGCGATTCAAGTCGACATGCGACAAGAAGCATCCCTCCCTCGGATGCCAAGACGACGCCCCGTCGCGCGAGGCGACATCATCAAGAGAGGCTCACAATCAAGGCTGAACCCCCTGCCTGCCCACAAGCTCGCCTAGAATATGGGTCGCTGACGTTATGCCATTCCCTCTTGAAGAGGGATGCATACTTGAATTGCAAGACTTAAAGCCATGCTTTTGTCATTTAATTATGCAGTCTGAAAAGCATCACCACCGCTATCAAGACGAGCAGCGTAGACGCCATGCCACATTCCTCGGAAGTCGTTGACTCGCTGACCTCGCAATCGCAATCCTCCTCGCCAGGCATACAGACTTGCAAGACTCGGAGTCATGTTTTCGTCAGTTGCTCAGCCGCCGCGCCACATTCCTCAGAAGCCGTTGACTCGCCGGCCTCGCTGCAATCCGCATCGCCCGGCATGCCGCCATGGTCGCGAGAGGTGGGTCGCGAGGTGTAACGCATCACCTACCTACCCTAGCGACTATTCTAGCTAAGGCTCTCTAAAGCGCTACCTACACAAGGTATCGACTTACGGGAAGGGATGATTGTTGATTGGTCCACAATTGTGAATCACCATCCACTAAAAGACAAACAAGGTTGGGAACCAACCCAACCTTTGCATTGGTGGACATTCAAACCAATAATATTTCAATGCTGCTGTTACAAAATACAACATGTAACCAGACAATTCTTATCACAAATAAGTTGCTCTCATTGGTTGCAAATCCAACCAACATGCCACCTAAGCAAACTCACCTTAAGGAGCTCCTTACCCTTGTTGCCATGGAGGAGATGGAGCTCCCCAAGGGGTATTGAGGAAGGGGTTTGGAGCTCCAAGGCTCATTCTCACATTCCCAACTCCAATTGATCAATTTTGGAAATGGGATTTCTCTAAGTACAGAACTTTTCCCTCACAAGTGCTTGTCGAGAAGTGAGAATGGATGAATGAACTATGAAACAGTTGGGTACAAGTACTAACCCTAATTGGATTGTACCTCTTATGGGCTACCCCACTACAGCCTACACAAATGTATAAGCTATAATGTTCTGACACACCCCCATAGGCAAAGTGGGGGAGAGCAAGCGGTCACAAGACCAGTCAAGCAAAGCAAAGAAAGCTCAGGGTGGATCACAAAGTCACCACACAGTCCGAGCACAAGAGTAAGGCCACAAGGCCAGTTCACATGCAAGATCATATATATAAAGGTAAACAAGCAAGTGCAGGTATAGAAAGAGGACAGTACAAACCAGATCAAGAAGTAAGCAAGTGAGGCCAGGTAGGCACAAGACCTAGCAAAGTACAGAAGCGCTGACGATCACAAGGCAGAAGGGCCTTGGTGAATACATCAGCAGTGTTGGCCTTAGAGGCCACGTAGGTGAGGAGGAGCTGACCACGCTGCTGCAGCTCACGAGCCAGGAAGTAGCGGAGAGCAATGTGCTTCGTTCTGTGCTCCAGTCTGTGCTCCCGACACAAGGCCAGCATGGCCTTGTTGTCTACGTACAGAACTGGAGGAGAACGAGGCGGCTCTCCGAGGTCAGTCAGCAGGTAGGTGAGCCAGCGTAGCTCCTGTGCAGCCATGGCCCCTGCGTAGATCTCAGCCTCACAGCTGGAGCTGAGAACAGAAGACGAGCGGGTAGACCGCCACGAAACAGAGCCGGAGCCAAGGCTGAAGGTGTAACCCTGTGACGACCGCTGCGTAGCCTGGTCGTCAGCCCAAGAAGCGTCAACGTGACCTGTGAGGACTACTCGACGTCGCCCTCCAAGCACTAGCCCCATGCCCGACGTACTGCACACGTAGCGCAACACCCTCTTCGCTGAAGCCATGTGCTCTGATCTGTGTCTCCCAGGAGCAACATAGCGTGCCAAGATGCTAAGAGGGTATGCAAGGTCAGGTCGTGTGCAAGTTATCAGGTACGTGAGGCAGCCAACAAGCTCTGGGTACGGGCCACTCGACTCTACGGACTCATCCGAAGGCAAAGCTGAGAGCGAGTGGCGAGTAGACAGAGGAGTGGCCTGAGACGAGGAGTACGTGAAGCCGAAGCGCTGAAGGATCTGCTGCACCATGTGTGGCTGAGTCAGGGTAATGGTGTGCTGTGCTCTGTCCCGGGTGATCTGCAAGCCAAGGTAGCTGCGCAGTTCACCCAGGTTTGTGCACGTGTGTCTCTTCTGCAGCTCGGACTTCACGTGGGCGAGTCCAGCAGTGTCAGCAGTGGCAAAGACCAATTCGTCGACGTACACGAGGATGTAAACGGCGGCAGAGAGGTGTCGGTGCGCAGAAACAGCGACTGGTCGGCTATAGAAGGAGCAAGCCCAAGAGCCGCAAGTGTAGTCCTCAGTGTGTCGTGCCACTCACGGGGCGCCTCGCGGAGACCGTAGACTGGCCGCCGGAGGCTCCACTGGGTGCCAGGAGGAAACGACCCAGTGAAGCCAGGGGGGGGGCGCAGCCAGATCTCCTCGTGCAGGCTGCCCTGCAGGAAAGCTGTGCTGAAGTCAAGAGAGTGAAGCTCGTAGTCGCGCTTAGCGGCTATGTGCAGCAGCACCCGAAGAGTGTTCATCTTCGGAGTGGGAGAGAAGGTCTGAAAGTAGTCAACTCCCTGCCGCTGACTGAATCCTCGAGCCACGTAACGCGCCTTGAAGACAGGCGGAGAACCCGGCGGCCGCTTCACCCTGAAAATTCACATGCCACTAACGATATTCGCCCCAGGTGGGGGAACCTCGTCAACGTAGGTACCTGTGGACTTCTAGGAAGCCATCTCTGCGTCCATGGTCGACTTCCACTGAGAGGAGTAGGGACCCTCGATCGCCTCAGCGTACGATCGAGGAGTCGGGATGTCTGGTGCATCCGGGTCTCCCTCAGGGGCAATCAGCGTGGACACGAGATGGGGCAAAGCAGCAGCAAAGCACTAGAACTCCTCCTGCCTGTCCTCAAGGACGTCCGTGCTAAGAGCACACTCACCCCCGACGGACGGAGGACAGACGGACTCAGACTCAGCAACGAAACTGGCAGCGTAGTCTAGACGACAGCGAGCAGCAAAGTCGACAAGCTCAGCAACTAGAGCAGATGCAGCAGTGGACTCAAAGGAAGGGTCAATGACAACACTAGCAAGGAGACGCGTGACCAAAGGACTAGCAGCATGAAGAAAGTCAGACTCCGGGTCAGCAAGAGTAGGAAGAGAGGACT